TGTTCACTTTTCGGAGGGGGTTTGCCTCCCGCCCTCATCAGCGGCTGGTTAGATTCCCTCGATGAAAAAAACTAAGGCCAAATCTCAAAAAATTTTCGTTGCGGGCACCACCGCTTAACGCGCGCGGACGATGTAGACTAAGGCACCTGCGTTGAGAATGAGCCTGCTATGAGCGCCGCAAGAAAAGGAGCTTTAGATGGAGAACTTTCCTCTCCAAAGTTTTTCCCGGTAGGGCTAAGTATATAGAGAATAAAAAAACATGAGGAATTGAGACATGCGAATTCTATAGACTGCGTATAGTTACCGCTTTGCTTATTCTTCAACGTTTCGAGAAATTAACATAAGAAGCATGCAAATGTTGCGGATGCAAAAGTCCAAGACAGGAAACTTATTATTCTAAATTCAAAAAGGCATTTAAGTTTCGCCGTGTGGATGATAAAATAAAGACATGGGTACTTACAAAATTGGCGGTAATATTGAAGATTAAGTGGATGATTCCGGGATAATTTTTCATCCAACACGTCCTCGCAGCTCAGCATCCAACAGAAAAAAGGAAGTTATGAACTTAGATGCAAGACGGCTTAAGCTATCCGCCGGCGTTTTTGACAATAGTTGTCAAAAGTTGGTGAAACTATTAGCTGAGAGCGGAGTAATCAAAGTTGCATGCGGAAGGGAGTATCGCATGCGAGAAAATTTGTTTGCTTGGCTGCTTGTGCAAACCTAGACGTGTCGGTTGGAAAAGGTTTGATAGGATTAAGAAATAATACTATGGTATTTTTGGTGAACGTTACAAAACCGGATAAGCTACCATCGTTGAGTCAGTAGGTTAGACGGAGTTTTGGCCCTGTTATTGTCTAATATCTTTGGCGTGAAAGGTCCCAATTGCCCGCCCTTGTAGATCTTCAAGTACGTAATAATGATTTCCTAATTTTTCTTTTACTCGGGCTTTAAGAAATTTCGGACTGAGTTTCGCGTTAAGGTTTTTGAAAAATCACTTTGAACAACGTTTCTCCTAAAGACTTCTTGACCTGGATGGAAAGAAACTGGTTTCGTACGTAAATTGTATTGCTGGGCGTTTCTCTCATAAGCTTTTTTCATGCTTGCTTGTATATCATTCCTCAAAAGTGCAGTCTTGTCGGTTTGTGTGATTGAAAAGTTCGATTCCTCCAGCATACCTAAGTCTCTTAACAAGCGATACTGCGATGCGTGTGTGATCATATTAAATCCAAATAAAACTTCATATGGTGTACGGTTAGTTGTTTGATGAATGGA